GGCGCTGCTGAGGGCGGGCGGCGCCCTGAAAGTTAATGAGCGGCTCGCGCGACTGGCCGCCGCCAGAGGTGCACCGCCCGCCCGGAGCTCGCAGCCGGGGAGCCCGAGCCCCGAGCAGCGCGACGCGCCCCGCGTCCTCTCGCCGAGAAACAAAAACAAAGCCCTGCGCTCGCGGGGGGCCCGTGCAGCGTGCGCGCCACTCCAGGCAGAATTCCTAGAAGTTGAGGCCCGGCTGGACGCGACTGACAGCTGGGTTCGAATCCCGCGACCTCCGCATCTTCGGGGCGCACCTTCGCGGGGTGCCGGGCCTGTTGCCGCGCCTGTTACCTGCGGAACCAGCCCCCGCTTCGTAGGTGTGGGAGATGCCGTGACACAGGAGTGAAGCACTCAGAATAGTGCCCGCCGCGTAGCGAGCATGCTGTGCAAGGGAAGTCCTATCCAAGCAAGGGCGTTTTCATTCATTCAGTGCTGATGGGGCTCACGCAGTGGGCTGGGAAGCTCCATCAGAGGTGACTGAGGCAGAATAGGACAGTGGGCCTCCTGGAGCTTGCAGGGAATGGGGATCAAATGGGGTTGGCGGGCACGGGGGGGGGGGGGGAGTGTTGGGAAGAGTCGCAGGAGCCCCATCTTGGCCTTGCGGAGGGATTCTCAGAGGACATGCACACTAGGTGGAATTTCCAAGGAGCTGGGTGCACCAGAGAAGAGAGTAGAGGCAGGACTGGGGCCCTGGACTCTGTCCTCAGAGGCCCAGGGAGAGAGTGCAGTCCAGTTAGAGGGTCAAAGTCTCCTGTGCACCCAGTCTAGGCTGAATGAAGCGGTGAGGAGTGAGCAGAGGAGTCAGGAGCCAGAGCCAGGAGGGCTTGTGTGTACGGTGGACTTCAACCCAGGGCCTAGGGAAGCCTCCGGAGGCTTTGAGCAAGGCTGTGTAGTTACTAAGATGTGCGTCTGCCAGGCACCTCTGCCAAGTGCCAGCCAGGAGGGAAGGAGCTCCCGAGGAGGCCCGTGTGAGATGTTAGTGAAAATCAGACCAGAGACGTGGGGACCAGGGCCACAGGGCACGGGGTGGGCGCTGACAAATGCCAGGTGGAGAGTGAGAAAGAGGGCAGAAAAACCAGTTCATCCTCAACAGCTGTGGCGAGAATACACAAGATAAGTTCAGCTGTGCTGGAGGCCCAAGAGGCCTGCAATGCACAGGTCCAGAGAGCATGTGGGTGGGAGGTGGGTGGAGCTCAGAACTCGGGAGCCATGGGTTGGGAAGATGTTTTCAGCTGTTTGGACAGCATAGTATTGAAAGAATTTAGTGAAGGAATATACTGGTGATTCACTTATGCCAGAAACAAAACCAAACAACCGCCGCCCCACCCCCAGTGTGCAGGGGAACGAAAAACATGCTCTGAGGCCCAGAAGTAACAAAGGGGTCGTGCTTGCCCTCATCCCTCTTCCTCGGCTATAAATTCCTTGCAGGCAAGACCTGCCCTTTAATTATCATTTATCCCAAACAACTCTTGGCATGGTGATCTGCATAGCGTAATTGCACTATAAATACTTCAATCGAGTTGAATATTTATTACATATGCTACGTCTCGTATTGAAAATCTCTTTTTGTGTATTAAATATTAACTCCCCCCCTCCCCCAAGATAACACTGATTCTGGCACCTCTCAACTTCTCCTTATCTGTTAGACCCCATTATATGGAGTAAACCACTATTTCCCAAGAAGTCTCTGCCCCTGGTTTTTATATCCTAGAAGGAAACACAGACAATGAAACAAACATGTATATAGTGTTATGTGACTTGTGTTCTAAGAAAAATCAGGATAAGGGGGCCGGGGGTGCAAAAGGTTCCTGTTTGGGGGGGCACTTAGAGAAAGTCTCTCAAAGGGAGCAACAATGGAGCTTCTGAATAGGAGAGTGGAAGCTCTGGGGCTTTCTGCAGGAAAAGCATTCCAAGCTTAGGGAACAGCAAGAACAAAACCCTTAGCATGTCCTGCAAACGACAAGCGTGTTAGTGGAGCCGGAAAGGCATGAGGCAGAGAGAGGAGGGGACTGTGAGCAGCGGAGGCATAGAGGCCAATCCAAAAGACCTCACAGGTCAGGGGCAGTTTGAGTGTGGTGGCTGCAGGGGAGAGCATGAGAACGTAGGAGTGGAGGAGAGACACTCAGCGTCTCCTGGGCTTGGGCAGGTAAGAGACACTGGGCTCAGACTAGGGCAGGAGAGATGCAGGCCATGAGAAATCAGTGGAGTCTGGAAGCTTTGTAGATGCTTTGGGATTTTCTGGAGAATTAGATATGGAGGGGGAGAGAAGGAGGAGTTAGGGAGCTCTCTGGAGCTCATCGACCCCACGAGGTGCCCAACCCCACTCAGGTCCCCTGAGGCTGCCGCCAAACCTCCGGCAGGCCGCTCCCGCCATTCCCGCCATCCTTGAACACTCTGCTCTATCACACCTTCCTGTTCTTCCCGCCTCCTGCCACTCAGATCCCCTTGTCTCTTTCTGGGTGATCGTCAACCCCTGACTTCATCACCAACCCAGAAATGGCTTCCCAGCAAGGAATGTAGTTTGCACCCAATGCAAAGTGGAGGGCTTGCAAAAAGCTGTGCTAAGCACAGACAGCCGTGGTGGGAGTGGGAGTGAAGCCCCCCCAGTACCCCCCACCCCGACACAGGGTGACTGCAGCGGTGCAGCGCAGGGCAGGCCAGCTTGTGGGGATGACCAGCAGGCAGTGAAAGGAAGGAGGAGGCCGAAGGGGAGGAGGCGTGCACACCAGCTCAGCTCCCGAGTCCGGTGCTGGGTTGAATATTAGCAGCTTGCTGCAAATATCTTACTCTGGAATGTGGATTGGCCTGGAATCAGGTGGATGCTTGGGACATTTGGGAAGACTCCTTAATCTTCTCCCCCAGGGAGCTGATCTCAGAAGCCAACAGCAGCAGTCTGAATCATAGTTTCAGCAAAGGGTTGAAGTTGGAAACAATGGGATAGTGTTGCCTGATTTTTCAACTTTTTGTAAAAGCCGGAAATGGAGATTTTTATTGAATTCCTCCTAATTTTATTCACTGGACGTGTTTAAAAATAAGCACTGTTGAGGAACAATGCAAAGCTTCAGTTCGGATCTCCAGACCAGTAGCTGCCGGCAGAAGGCTCCTAGAAACCACAAATGACATAATGTTACATTATTAGCGAAGTTCTTTGTCAACTGAAAGAAAGTTGAGGGCAAGTCATTTTGCCTAAAGATACCCTGACACTCTGTGCTCACAGCCCTGATGGTAATTGCTCCTAATGCGTTTTAAAACGCCAAGTGGAAAGAGCACAGCCTCCCTAGATGGCCAAACAGCCTCGTCACAGCGAAAAGCGCCACTAAACTATCCTCCAGACAGCTGCTTTCGTCTTGGCGATTACCCTCCTACACAGGCGAGGATCCCCAGAGCTGGAGAGAAGGAATAGCTTACCCAGGATGCCATCTGTCTTTAAAATAGTAATAAAATAAAATAGAGTTTGAATATTATATCCTAAGATCAGGTGGCGAGGGGATAGTCCCCCAAGACTTCCCCATTGGTGGGGGCTCAGAGCCCGAGGGCGCCATCTGGCGGTAGAGAAGGGTGTGGACTTGCCCCAAGGCACTCGGGGCCGGCTTAGCCCAGGGGGGAAATAAAAATCTATTAAGTTATTCTCCTTCCTCCACAAAATCCCTGATCTGTGCTTGCTTATTCTCTGGGCTGACTGAGAACAGGCGACGTGGAGAAGAACGCCCAGATTTGTGCTCCAGTCCTGCGTGGATTGATACTTAACTCCAGTCAAATTACTTCATCCCTCCTGGCTTGCTACATTCTACCTTTGCAAATCACCTGCCCTTGCAGGGAGGGCGTAGGATTAAGCTAGCTGATTTATGCAAGGAATTTAGCTGAATTTCTGGTACTTAGTTCTCAGTACTCAGTAGCGGTGCTCTTCTCAAGCTATGTACCATATCTTCTGGCTTCTCTTAGACCCAAGTTCCTTCTGTAAAATGAGGTTGGCTAAACTAGTCTGAAAGTCCCAAACTGGCTGTGCACAAGTTATTCCAGAAGCCATTAGAAATTTAGATTTCCAGCTCTTATCTGGAAGATTCCATTTCTGGATTTCTGCATGAGGTCTCAAAGGATTTCCAGTTCAACATT